CAGTGACAGACAGTGAGTACTGTAACCAGTGACTGGCTTGCTTTTCAGTATGTGGATGAAGAGGAACTAATGAATGCCATCAAGGGCTTCAGCTCAGTAACCAAGGAACACACCACCTTCACCGACACCCACCTGTAAAGGATGGAAGTTATAACATGGGAACATGAGGTGCGTGCTCTGGGCCCTGTTTTTTTCCAGTTATCACAACAAGCCATAGAAGCTGAAAAACAATAAACAATTTTTTTTTTTTAATTTTCAATTTTTCCTAATAGAGACGTACGAGATATTATTTCTCTGGTTGTCTCGAATAAGGAATTCTAGCCACATGTAAATGCTTGCATTGTCTTGCTGATTTTGTGGACATCAAAGGAACAATCCAGGCCATTTCAAGATGGCTCACACTTCTTATCAGTAATGAGAAGTTACGAGTTTAAAACAAGCAAGTCTACTAGGAGGACGACGAAATCCTGTAAGCAGTACCTGCACTGGCGGTCACAGTCCCACACTGCAGCAGAGAACCATCTCTGCACACACACATGGTAAGGCTGTAGCGCTGCTACCCAGAGCTTCCTACAGAGCAGGCATGGCTCAGAAGCGCACAGCTCTCCTAGCTGTTCCTAAGGACAAAGCTCATGTACGCAGGTTGCGCTGTTACAGCTTGAACTAAAACCTGTGAGATCGTCAATCAACTTTTCATAAAATATGAATCTGCTATTCCTGGAAAACAACGTAAGAAACCCTCCTTTCCTTCAGTCTTAAAAGTTCCAGGAAATTCTTCTGAGTTTATGTGACAATATCTTGTGGACCTTTATGAAGGACTAACTCACTTATTTCACTTAAAAGACACTATTTACTCCCACAATCCAACAGTCTAAGGCTGGATTTTCGGGGTGCTGATCTGTCATCCAGACTTGTGGTACAGCAGCTCCTAGTCACCCATTAAGTATCAAAGCACAGATGGCAATGAAACACGTCCACAACTTGTCACTCCTGAAGTGGCAGGGACTCCACAGTGGCTATCCACATCTTACCATGCATTTTCCTGTCTTGCCAAGTTTTATACCTTTTGAAATGGAAACAGAACTGGCCAGTCTTTAGGTTACAGCAAAGGGGGCCTGCCTCTCATGGCTGCAGGTAGGTGCCTATAGTGTTGAATTGCACCAGGATCACAAGGTCCTACATCTAGGCAGCATTTTTCTGTTCAGGAACAAATCATTAGTGAGAAATACTGTCTAAACACCACCTCCTGAGGACATTTTTAATGTCTAGGGACTATGATCCCTGGGAGTGTGAAGGAAACATAGCAATCATTTTATTCTTTGGTGATACTTGCCTGCTATGTGTTTAAAACCATGCAGACAGCTAAAGTTAATCCCTTCTTTTTTAACTGTAAAGACCCCAGTTGAGTGTCTGGTCCTCAAAGGTCACTGAGGCTTGATAGGAACCTCTGGCCTTTCTTTTACCAGTTTTTCCATCTACGCGAGAGCAGGTCAAAACCCTTGCTTGACCCTGGCTTCATTGGGAAGGTGGCGTAATTTCCCCTCTGTCGGCATGCCTCTCTGTAGACTGAACACTGGTGAGAGCTGACTGGATAGCTTCTCCATAGCCTCCTTCAACAAGACAACAGGTGATTCCCTACAGTTACGCCTCATAGGTCCCTAGGACCTAGCTGACCTTGAGGGGAAAACAGGAAATACCCTCCCTTTTAAATCCTCTGACCACATCAGTCTCCCACGTATGGTTCCTGAATACTTAACACGTATCAGAGTGACATCACTGGCCTTTTAACTGAGTAATATGTAGATAAAGTTGGGGTTAAACCAAACACTTAAACTTTGTTTAGATGAGATTTTGCAGTCCTTGTAATTGCTACCGAGTAGATCCATAACACCATAGACATAAGCAGAAGTTTGATATCGGTGTATTAACTCTGTTACATACCTTATATAACTTGCCCAGACTCTGTAACTTGCCCACGCTTACCAGCTTTCTTGTGACACTTAACGACATGAACAAACTTACCTGTGACGATCTTTGCAAGTTGGCTTAGCTGATGCCATGGTAGTTGTTGGACTTCAAACACAGTGCTGTGTAATAGCACCTTAATAAAAGAAAGTTGAATCCAAACTGTAGTAACTTAATACCGCCTGTGTACACATTGCTCCACCGAGAAGCTTGGTGAGTTCCAAGATAAACCCTACATAAAACCAGTCTTCTTACAGCACACAGCAACGGTGAGCAGCAGATAAAACTGTGGTGATAGACCGACTACTTATGAGGTGTTGTTTGTGTTTTCATTAGCTGCCTTATTTTCATCATGAGATAAGGAGTCATGATGCCTTTACTCTTTTGTTCTGTGGCAGGGAGAAACAGCCAGAGGCCCAGCCTGATTCCGGAAATGCCTGGGTCTGACATCTCCAGAGCCAGCTTCTCCGGGGACTCGAACAGCACAGGAGAATTTAGTGCACACACAAGGCATTCATTTGCTTTTCTATAAAACCAACACAGTGGTTTACAATAAACAGATGTACTGTTGAGTCCACTGACAAGTGGCTGGACCCAAAATACCTGTCCATATAACCAGTAGAGACTGGTTCAGACGAGTCTTGTTACCTACTGTGTCATGCAGTGGGGAACAGGATGAATGGATACAGAAAACATCCTTTCCTTCTGGAGCCTTTAAACTTTATAAAACCCTGGGTAGGCACTGGAGCGAGCCATGGTCAAGTAGGATGGAGCTAGTCTGCCTTGTCCAATGGTCTAACCTGAGACCCTTCCCAGTTAGACTGAGGGGCAACTGCTTAGCCTCTAGCCACAATCAATTTCTGGATGTTTGCAAATAGAGGCAGACAACCTGAAAAACTCAATACCCCGTTTTTCTTTCAGTTCTTCTAATGAATAGGCTCTCTGAACAACAAGGTTGGCACCACTTTCTCTACCCTGCTGGAAAACAAGACTAGGTACCACAATGGCTCAAGGGCCCCCCCTGGCAGTAGGACACGATACAAACCTGGTACATGAGCTAGCTTGTCGCAGCCCATTCCCTATGGTGGGATGCCATGCTCAGACTTGGTGCATGGGAGAGGGGCTGGGCCCTGCCCAAACTTATTGAACCGGACTCAACTGACTCCTCATAGGAGCCCTGACCCGTGAGGAGGAGTGAACTGGAGGTGGGTTAGAGGGAGGTGAGGGAGGGTGGGAGGAGGCAAGGGGGGATAGGAAGAGGGATAGGAGGAAGAACCGTGGTTGGAATGTTCCATGAAATCAAATAATAGAAAATGAAAAAAACAAAACAAAAAGTTCAATAAATTTCTCCTTGTCCAGCCAGCCCATGCCCAGGTGCCTGCACTCAGCTAAAAGTTTGATGACTCAAGTGACATTCTCCATGCATACCCAGTGAGGAATTAGCCTTCTTCCCTTATTATTCATCAGGAATATGATCAGTGATTATCAATATTATTATTGGGGTCCAGCACTTGTGCTTCTTGGTATAGGAGGGACAGCAGAACCCCCCACCCAGTCACAAGATAAAAGTGCACCAGTCTACCAACCCACTCTTCCCCGTCTCTGGATGGAGATGAGAGCTAACTGGGGATTCTGACCTTGCTAGTACTGGTGTGGAGAGTCCCATTGCAGGGAAGGGGACCTGCCGAGGCCTCCTCCTGATTTTCAGTCAGGTATATGTGCATAGATATCATCTCAAATCCTGGATGAGCTCCCCAGGAAATGTAATGGGATGCTGGTTCTTGACTAGGGAATCGCTGAGCACTTTCCCAGGGCTGGACAAAGAATTCAACATCTAGGAAAGGCAGGAGACCCAGCTGCCAAGAAAGCAAAAGGAACAGCTTTATCCCTTCAGGTTGAGAGGGACCCAAAGTCAGGGAGTCTGCTGAAGGGAAACGCAGGTTGTATTTTGTAGGTCCCTTGGGTCCTCCCTTCCTATGCCTTCCCACCATTTCTCTTCCCATTGTCCTCTGGGAACAAGCCACTATCTCAGAAGATTTTTGCCTTCCTGTCTGTGTTCCTCTAACTCTCCTTCAACGTGAACTAAGTACATAAAGAACCTAAGCGCTTATAAACCTGTTAGAGCATGCCATGCTACTCTAAGCTCTCATGCTGCCATCCACATAAAAACACTACAACCAGTGAAAAAAGCAAAGGGCAGGTAAACAATGTAGCCGTGATGCATGTAAAGACAGTGTAAACAGATATTTCAATGGGAACTACGTTTCACATACTTCTCAAGGCATATTCTAGCACTCCCGAGCTACACATAAAAAATGACAGAGGCATACCTATTGAGAAACCAGTATGCCGAGCATGTTCTGGTCCGGAGCACACTAAAATCAACTGTGATTCCCTTGCCAAAGTGAGCCCACTACCTGACGCTCAAATTCACCAAGGTTGGAATGGGACTATGGCAACTACATTTAACTCCAGGCAATCCTAATGAGAAAGCCCAGAAGAAACCTAGGTTTTTCAAACAGAATACCTCAGTCTGAAAGCTGGCTCAGCCACTGGCTAAGTTTTACCCTCTGTGGTCTGCTACTTCACTGTGAGATGAAAACAATACTTACCCCACTTAGTAGAAGAACTTACAACAAAACGGCTTGCACTGTTTTCTCCATGAGATACAGATATGCTTCATTATTGTCCTTTAGTCAACCTTGGCAACGTAGGCAGAGCAATCTAGACAAAGGGAATCCAGCACTGCTGTAGACGGAAGACACAAGGCTAGAATGGCAAAATGCTGCAATCCATGCTTTAATCAAGTTACGCTTCATGTTTTTGAGACAGAGGCTCCTGATATAGCCCAGGCTGGCCTCCAATTGCCAGGATGGAGTTAAGGTTCACATCATCTTTCTATGAGATTTTAGTCCCAAGCACCTCCCTCTCTCTAGTGGTCTTCTTACATGGTAAATGCGACGTTTCTTTTTTCCACACACATGGGTCCAGCTGAAACAGGATAATGTTCCCTAAATAACTGAAGACACACCGCCTGCCTTTCTCATTCCATTTAATTGACAAATAAATACAAGGGAATTTTTGTGAAACCACTGACAATATAGTTAATTTTAAAGAATTTTTCCAACTTCATTATACTTCTGGGAGAGGGAATTACACATCATTCACTAGCAAATGCTCGTGGGTTTAAATTTACATTTTCTCCATTGCAGAAATGTGTAAACCATCCAGATTAGATGAAGAAAATGTAGAAGAGCTTTTCTTTTGCCCTCAGAGTTTAAAATAAAGTCAGAACACAGTTTTACGTGTGGAAACATTTAACTCCAAATCTACCATTCCAGTCCTGTGAGACCCTGCAGAAACACAGTGGCTCCTATAGCAGGGCGGCAGGCAGCAAATGCAAGGCTGCCCTTCTGGACAGCCCGCGCTCCCCTCTTGCTAACATTTTACCTCGTCCAGCACGGAGACTTCAGGCTTCAGACACTGGTGATGCATGCTGCATTATCACCAACAACAAGGATGAGAAAATGACCACAATGAAATAAAAAAACCCTAAAGATGTAGTGCACAGTGGAACCTGGGGTCCAATAATAGTGTTTTGAGTTCCATGAGACTGTCACAACATAGCACCTCATCAGGCATCAGGTAAACACTTGGCAATCACAAGGGTTGGGAGCCACATTCTGGGGAGAGTCTTACTGCTAAGTACCTCTGCAAGACAAGCCCTGGGCAACTGCCCTGGGAAAAGGGCCCACTCATTGCCTCACATGCTCTAAGGGCGCTGGGACGACAAACAGGAGGGGTGGCAACACGGGAAGACCCCATGTGCCCGCAGGGGTAGGGTCACGTGCACCGTCGAGGGACACACCACTGCACCCCCTTGGAAGAGTGTGCTCTGCTCCTGCCTCAGGAGAGTCGGCCCAGAAAACATGAACCAGGTCAAGCTGTATCTTATAAAGTTTTGATGTAAAAGCCAATTTACTAAAACCCAGGCAATTTTGTTCTTCATGTAAATCTATCAAAATTATTGTGCACTGTGGTGAGTTCACAAGCTGTACTCTTGGCCCGAGGAATCACTTTTTTTGTGCCGAGGTGACGGAGTGGTCTTAGTTGGAGACGGGGATGCCGTACCAGGAGAGTCGGTCCCTCCATCAGAGGTACTTGGTGAGGATGCCAGGTGGGGAACCTTCTTTCTTCCGAGGAATCCTCCTGCTTCAAACCCTTTCTTGCGGAACTCCACTTTCTGCTCGATCTCATCCTCTGAGGATCTTTTCTTGGACTCTGACAACCCGTCGGCTGTTTTCTGGACTTCTAACCCACCATCCAATTCTTTCACACATCTGAGCTCTGTCCCAGGGGACTTCCTCTCAGACATAGTGCATTCCCCCGCTGCCCCTTTCACTTCAGCCTGCGTTGGACCCATGTGACCATTTTCTGGAAGGACTCTGTCTATGTTTCTGTTGAGATTAAGAGTCTGGAAGTCCCTGTAACTGTGGAAACTCTCAGTCCTCCTTGCTCTAGCTAACAAAGGGCTCTCTCGGTAAGGCCGCGTGGCACCATAAGTAGCTGCCTCATGGATGGTCTCATGATGCTGGAGCTGAAGGCTGGAAGACAGATTTAAAAATGACAAGTTGTGAGTTCGCTTCAAGGTCTCAGGAGCGTATCTCAGCAGTTAAAACTGCCAACTAAAACATCATAAAAACACGGAAGGCACATTACTATCCATACCTGTATAAGGATGTATTTGTCAAGCTGCCCGTATTACAAATTGCTTAATACTATACACATACATTCACAATCAAGCAAGTGTTCTGAATAGCAGGGGAAAAAGGAAAATAGAATCTAAAGCCAATAAGGAATTAATGTAATTCAATATTTGGCCCTTGGATTCTCAGAATTGGAAAGTTTTTTTCATATGGTTGAAAATGGCAAAGTATCTGATAAAGTACACAATACCTTATATGAAATTCGACAAGATAACCACTTTTGATTAGTACTGAACCTGAGCAATAAGAACAAAACCGCCACAACATATCCAGTTGATATCTGATCTTTCTAATTCAGGTAAGCATGATGGCTATTCTTGGCTGTCAACTCGACTCTATCTAGGATGAACTAGAGATGGAGGGCACGCTTGTGATGCAGATCTTGCAGGGGAAGGCACACCTTGAACCTGGGCCACACTTTCTGCTGGGAGCCTAGATAAGGACAATGGAAGCAGGAAGGGCTTGTTCTTTGCCTGCCTGCCTTCTCTTTGTCAGCACATCCATTCCCTCACTGGCACTGGAGCCGTCTCCTTTGGGATTCCAACACATACAGAAGACCAGCTGAGACACCCAGCCTTGTACTGAGCAACCACTAGATTCCTGGGCTTTCCGTTCACAGATAAGTCATTGTTGGACTGCAGCCTGTAAGTCATTCCAATAAATTCCCTTATAGAGAGAGATCATGTATCTATATCTACACACACACACACACACACACACACACACACACACACACAGATTCGTTCAGTGACTAGGGAATCCTAACCCAGTGAGTTCCTGATCACACAATAGCATTCCTATTCCAGCTACAAGTCATTTCCTACAGCGGTCAGAACAATAAATGTGCCACAGTCTCAGGCATTTGAACACTTAGTGCCCAGCTGGTGATGCTGTCTGTGAAGGCTTAGGGGGTGTGGTCTTGCTGGGGGAAGTGCGTCACTAGGGCCAGGCTTTGGGAATTGAAAGCCATGCACCATTTCCAGTACATTCTCTCTGCCTTGTGCTGTGGTTCAGGACGTGAGCCTTCAGCCTCCTGCTCCAGCCACCATGGCTGCTGCCTGCTGCCATGCTTCCAAAGAAAATTAAAGTTAAAAGGCAGAGGCAAGTAAGGGTCAGACTCAGCGGTCAAGACCATGGTAGGCATGTATGAAGTCCAGGGGTCAATCACAGTACACGCCACATACACTGAAGACGACAACATTTTCTTCCCTTGCACTTTATACATGTACAAAACTGTCAGAGAAAAAAGTCAATAAAAGTTTAAAATATTTTCCTGTGAAAAGAATGTACCATGCAAATAAAAGTGTATTCATACTTAAACAATTCAGTATCAATGAATCTGACTTCAAACTGTGCTCTGCTCACAGCATCACTCTCCCCGAGCGAGCATCAAGTCCCTTTACGATGTACTGGCTACTCTCACCCACCTGGAGTTTGACTCTCGGAGGCGGCTGTGCTGAAGCACAGACGCGGCAGGACTGATGTTGGGGGTGGCACAGCGCGATGTGCTCAGGTCACACTGGTCTAACAGCTTGAGCAGCTCTTCCTCAGTGGGGCCACCGGCATCTTAGGAGAAAAGCATTCATTAAAATACAAGGTCAAAGGTCAGCTTGTGACAAACATCCTACTGTGTGGTGACCTACCCTTGTCCTCACTCTTGTTGACCATATCCATAGCCGTGGTCAGATCCCACATTTGGATGCTGCCATTTGTGTGGCCTGTGAACAAATAGCGCCTCGGCCGAGAACCCATCCTGCTGGAGCCCTCACACTCTCTCACGGTGAACGACGATATAGTGGTGCAGTCAACAGCCTGGATCTCACATATCCTGCAAAGACGGGATGCTTGTAGACCCAAGGATCAATGACATACATTGGATAGTTGATGACTGTATAATTCATTGAGTTCTTATTTTTAGAGTCACGCAAATGAACATGTATCAAAAAATAGTTTTAAAATGGTCAAAGAGAGTTGACAGAAATTCAAGTCTTGTTTTTCTGAATGAGAAAAACTTCTTGGACATTATAGTGTGTTCTCAGCTCAAAGATAGATATGATTTAGTCACAAAAGCTATCTTGGGAATGAGGAAGTCTTCAGAAGGAAGATGTGAGGAAACAAAGAAAAAGAAAGGGGGATAAGAAATAAAATACACCGATGTTGAAAAAGAAAACCACTAAAGTTTATATACAACTTTTACAAGGTAAACCCATACAAGCTCCAGAACTCCTTATGGGAGAAGCAGCTCAGCAGCAAAACAGGCACAGCCGGCTGGGCAAGCACCTGCCACGCCCATGCCATGGGGAGGCAGATGAAGCCCAGTGGGCAGGGCCAATGGAGCAGCCAGTCCTGTGGGCCACACAGGCCACACACACTAGAGTGGCCCAGCTGGGGTACACATGACTATTTCCCCAGGTGTAAGGGCTTCTCTGGCCACCTATAGGGGGCACCATAACCAAGCCTCCTAGGGGCTGGCTACAGGTGACCATGCCCCAGGGTGTGGTCAAGGTGATGTCAGGGTGAAGGTTAGGGAACCTTCATCGTCTTCACTGCTTACTGCAGCTAGGTGCTCTGTAAGTAGGATTAGGGTATATTTATTAGGGAATATGCCTGATCTGGTTACATATTTGTGAGTCACGTTCGTATCCGCTTATAGCCACCGTTAAAGACATTAGCAGATTAGGTGACTTCTCCTTCATTTCAATTGTTAGAACTTTGAAAACAGCTTAATTTTACATGTACGTGTGAGTGCCTGTGTGCATGTCTGGTGCCCCACGAGGGCAGAAAAGGAACTCCCTGCAACTAGAGTTACATACGGATGGCTGAGCTGCCCACCAGGGACGCTGGAAACAGCCCAGCTCTGCAAAGGCAGCGCCATCTCCCACACTCAGGCCTAGTACTGCAAGAACCTAAGATGGCTATGGATTTATCAATTTTTATTGTTTGTCATGATCAGAACAATCCTTCCCATTATTATTCATGTGATGATTGATGTTTATTTATATTTGTAAAGTGACTTAAAAATTTAAAAATATCTGTTTATGATATATTTTTAAAATACAATAAATCAATGTTACTATATGCACAAGAACAAATGTGGTTTTGCCATGGTCTCCCGCCATGAGATGAAGTCCTTACTTCTCTATAGGATAGCTTCTGACCTAGTCACTTTCTACTCTTCTCCACTTCCAGGGCCCGGAATGGTCAGTAAGTTTCTTCACAATGATAACTCAATTCTATGAAGCAACTTCCGCCTGTTCTGTTACTATAGTTTCCCTCTGATCAAATTCATTTTCTTTTCTTTTCAGTTTTTTTGAGACAGGGTTTCTCCGTGCAGCTTTGGAGCCTATCCTGGCACTCTCTCTATAGACCAGGCTGGCCTTAAACTCACAGAGATCCGCCTGCCTCAGACTCCCGAGTGCTGGGATTAAAGGCGTGCGCCACCACTGCCTGACCTGAATTCATTTTCTAAGAATACACACACAATCTGTGGGGTGGTTTAGACACATTAGTCATTTTCTAGAATTCAGTCATTAATTACTAATGACTACATGCAATCTTGATGAAAATAAAGCCTACCCAATCTCAGAGTTTATCTCTGGAAAACGCCATGTAGCAGAGACATGCCAAAGACAGGCAATCAGAGACTTTAGAAACATCAGCAGCACCAGCAACACTGAAAGGAAAGCCCTGTCTGCTTAACAACTACTAGGAATTTTGCTTGCTCACTTGTCTGGCAGGCAGAAAACAAACAGCAAAACCAGGGACAATGGTATTCGAAGTGAAACAGAATGACAGAAGAGCTCATTACTACAATGTTCATGGAGTCAGTGACTGCAATGACTTCTGTTCCTGTTTGTGACACTTTACCATAAGGCACACCCTGCAGACAATGGAACCTAATCAGTCAGACAACCAATGAGGTCACATAAGCTGAATTTACATAGCTAATCAAGGGTCGTATTAGGACTTAGTACATCTGTCTGCCTTGAAATCCACTGTGATCACCATTAAAATTAGACAAAAGGTCATCTCCGAAGACAAAGGCAGAAAAGAAATTGCCAGCAGCCTCAGGACCAGAGTGGTGACCCTGCCATACAAGCACAGGACCCAGGGAGACAGGCCATTCCAGGAAGAGTGAGGACAAATGTGAACTGAGACATGACAGCTAATCGGGAGCTATGGCAGTCACACGGGTCACATGATCATCCGCCAAGGATGACCTTACTTTTGTTCTAGGTAGAGATGGTCTTGACCTCTAACAACTCATCTGAGAGACACGAGTAGTGTATATGCCGTTTGTGCATGTTGGGAAATGCTTCAACTCAAAGGTTTCTTCCAGCTCTAACAAACTGCACCTGCATGCTGGGAGTCAAAAGCAATTTCTGAAGATACATATCCTTCTGTGAAGTGTTACCTTTTTCCAGTTGACGACAGCCTGACAAACAGCTTGTTAGTGATGGGAACAACTTTCTGGATAAACACTTGTTGATCATCTCGTTCTCCAAAAGGCCCTGTGTCAGAAAACAGAAAGGTCAAACAAGGATGAGAAATGGTTTCATTTATAAAAGCACACTAACAATCCTCTGCCCAAACTACTGTCAGGCACTAAATTATTGCCATTACAAGCAAAATAGCAAAAGTATGTCAATCCGCATTAAATTTTACAATAGAAATACACAATATTTTTTAAAAAGTGTTTCTCTCTGTGTGTGCAAGTGTATCCATGAGTGTGTGAATATGTGTGACTGTGTTGGTGTGCGTGAGTATGTGTCTGTATGTTAGTGTGGGTACAAGTATGTTAGTCACATGTGGGTATAAGCCCACAGAGGCCAGGAGAGGACCCCAAGGAGCTGCCGCCCTGTGTGCATGCTTATGTCTTCTGGAAGAGCAGGGCGTCCCCTCAACTGAGAAGCCTTCTCTTCAGTTCCACATTGCGGCACCATTGTATTTTATGCATTAGAGACTTACAAGCTGAGGGGGTCACTCCTCAAGGACCCACAATACCAGACAGTCCCTTTGAAAATGTGCTTACATTCTAACAACGTAGAAAATGGCTTGGGAGTATGGACTCGATCCCTAGTTCCAAACTCGGCAAGAGAAGATATAAACTAAGTCACTCCATATAATCCCTACTAATGTTTTGAAAACCTGCATGCAAAATTGAACATCTTCTGAAGATTAACTTCAATAAATAGAACATACTGGGGCTGGTGAGATGTCTCAGCAGTTAAAGGCACTTGTCACCAAGCTTGATGACCTGAGTATGATTCCCAGCACCCACATAGCAGGAGAGAACTGACTCCAGCAACTTATTCTCTGACCTCCACTTTGTGATAGGCAAGCGGGCACAAGCATACAGTGCACACAGATGCACACCAAATGTTGTTAAAAGAATTTAAGTAATCAGAAGCCTCCATCAACCACACTGTTCCTTCAATGTTTCCATTTTCTTAAGACACAGAGTAAAAAGAAATAACTTTGCATGCCACTGAACCGGGGTGCATAGCAGCGCACCGTCCAGAGCTCCCGATGACCAATTCTTCAGTTTGGAGTATTTTGACTTTTGTAATTTTCACATCCACAATGAGACACCTTGAGGACATCAGTCTAAACAAAGATCTAACAGGACAAAGGGAACCAAGTTTCACAGTGCAGAATTTTCCACTTTTCACATGGGGCTCAAAGAGTTTTAGGTGACTGGTATGTGGACTTCTGGACTATGGACACTCAGTCCATTTAGGGCTGCACTCAAAGGTTTTTAATATAATACTGAAAGACTGCCTGGAGAGATGGCTCAGAAGTTCAAAAGCGCTTGCTGCTCTTGCAGCAGCACCCAGTGTCCACATGGTGGCTCCACAACCATATGAAACCCTAGTTCCTGGCGGGGGAACAGCTGCGCTCTTCTGTCATCCAACATACTGTACAGAAATACGTACGCAAACAGTCATATATATTAAAAAAACACATCCTTTAAAAAAAATGACTCAATTTTTTCCCATCTATTATACTGGGCAAGGCCGGGAAGACTGAGCCAACTATAAAAGAAATCCTAGCTTGAGAAACTGGGGAGTTTAATAATTCTTCTTTATTGCACTCATTAACAGAAGCTCTTCACAAAAGCTATGTGGCACACAGCACACTCCATGTAACAAGCTCTCTGCTGTTGTTGACACCCAGTTACATCTCCAGCCTTCAGCTCACACCGCTCACATAAAAACAGTGGCACCTTCATCACTAGCCTCCTAGGTGCTACCTAAGGAAAGCATCATCATTGTCCCCAGTTTACACATGATCGGTGCACACCCTGACAACCAGGCTAACCACACCCCCCTTTGCTGGGAGCAGAGTACAGCGATCTGTACATGCTGGCCAAACAACTCCAATTCCTTAACAACACCGACTCTTTTCCCAGCTTCAATTTTACTCTCAATAACTGTTAAAAACAAAAGGAAAAAAATGTAAAGTTTCAATCATGCACAGCAATCAATCCCAGCTGTAGTTACAAACAAAACTAGCTGGTTAGCACTGGGAGAGAACCACATTTAAAGGAGGAAATGCCAGGAAGAGAAAATTGTTTATCTGAACTTTTTAAATAACAAAAAATGTTTCAATGATATAATTTTGTGAATTCACAGAACTAGAAAGAAAACTACAGGGTTGGAAGATGGCTGCATCAGTGAGGCACACAGACCTGTGCTCAAGGCCTAGAGTCCACAGCAAAGAAGTCATGCCAGAGTGAGAGAGAGAGAGAGAGAGAGAGAGAGAGAGAGAGAGAGAGAGTGTAATCCACACTGGAGAGGCAGAGACAGGCAGACCCTTGGAGCTCATTGGCCAGCTAGTCTAGACTACCTGGTGAAAGCCAGGCCAGTAAAGACCCTGTGTCATGTCAGCATCATTCTGAGGTTGTCCTACACCCACACCCACACCCCACTCTGAAGTTATCTTACGGCCTGCTCGCGCACGCGCGCACACACACACACACACACACACACACACACACACACACACACACAGCGTTTATATCTTAATTAGATTAACATGTATAATTCCCATGATCCCCCAAGTCCTTGATCTCCCTCTCTGCAGATGCCTACCTATGTCATTTCCAGAGGAATAGCTGCCATGGCTTTCCGTCTCCTCCAAGGACAGGATCTTGAATGACGCTAAAGGGGTGGAGCCTGGCTGAGTGGAGATCATTCCTCTGAACCGTGTCACTGTCCACGTTCGGACATGGTTGTTGTCGGCACACACTAGGAAAGAACACAGAGTGTCACCACGCCACTCTGAAACACTTTCATGAAGCAGATCACAGTACACCCTAAAAGGCAGATGGCATATTCATCTTAAAACTGAACTCAATTGTGTCTTGTTAACCAGAGCGAGAGAACTGGGGCCAGGAAGATAACTTGGCAGGTAGACATTGCCACCAAGCCTGGTGGCCCGAGTTCTGTCTCTGGAACCCACATGGTCAAAGGTGACCATGTGAAATGACTGCTGCAAGGTGGCCTCTGACCTGTACACACGGGCTGTGGCATGTGTAAAAACATATACTCGCATGCACACAAGACCAATAAATAAGCCTGACAGTAATAACAAAGTTTTATTTTGGGAGAGATTCTCTCTGTGCAGCCTGAAGGCATTTGAGTAAGTCCATGAGGTCCTGTAAAGCAGCGGGAGCCGGCGTGCAGGCAGGCACCAGGCCAGTCACAGTCAGTGCAGGCTGGCAAGGCTGCACTGAAAACAAACAATAAAACCAAGGCAAAAGCTGGTAAGACACAAATGTAGAAAAGATTTTAAATTAGAGAAAGGTTTTATGTCACTCAGACACTAACTAGCCTGCGCCGGGAGTGGCTGGACACTGGTGACGAACATTCAGACACTAACATGAGAGCATTCAAGTAGGAAGTTCTTTTTAGCTTGGTTTAACAAGAAAACAAAACCCTAACTTCCCATTTGTAATGGTTTTAAAGAATATCCGTAGATGCTAGGAATGTAAAGATTGTTCTAGCAGTTTTGTGCTTTAAAGAAAAAGTTACAAAGCACTCTGGGAACAAAATACTAACCGCTCTGCACACATCAGTTGTAAGGAAACAAACGCTCCGTTCTCCAAGCCTGTAGGGAAGTACAGGAGGCAAAGAGTGGTGTTTACCAGCCTCATGGGAAATACCCCTGGCTTCGCCACATTTAGTGGGACTGAAAAGACAAATAACTGGAGCGATCCTGGATGACTGACTCAAGTGTCCGAGCAGAACTGTGTTCCTACACCAGCCTGTGAAGCCTCCTGTCAGACTCTAGTGAACTACAGGAGCACACACTGCATTTACGCCAGTAGCCACCAGAGGGCAGAAGGGCTAAGAACACAGAACACTCCAGACATGTGCTTAAACTGAGGTTTTTCTTGACAAACTTGCTTATCCAGACCTACATGTAGCTTTCTATGTTGAAATATCAATTACTTTAGGCACTGTTTTGGCATCACACTCTACACTAACATAGCCACCAAAGACAGTCACGAAGATCTCAAAGTACTGCTGTTTAACCAGCATGGCACAGCTAAGAGATTAAATGCCATAAGATCATACTGTATACAGCATTTCCAGCACCTTTGTGTGAAGAGCTACACGTAAGTGCTGAGAAGAGAGAGGAGAAGACAACTACTGCAGCTGTAGAGGAGAGAGACTATAGGCAAACAAGTAACAATCACACCGTAAGCCTGTGAAGGACACTCAGGAGACTCAAGCAAACAAGGTTAGTTTTACATGGACTAGGAAACCTTACTGAGGAAGTGTGAGAGCCTGAAGGACAGAGAGGAAGTGTGAGAGAGTCTGAAGGACAGGGAGGAAGTGTGAGAGAGAGTCTGAGGGACAGGGAGGAAGTGTGAGAGAGAGTCTGAGGGACAGGGAGGAAGTGTGAGAGAGAGTCTGAGGGACAGGGAGGAAGTGTGAGAGAGAGTCTGAGGGACAGGGAGGAAGTGTGAGAGAGAGTCTGAGGGACAGGGAGGAAGTGTGAGAGAGAGTCTGAGGGACAGGGAGGAAGTGTGAGAGAGAGTCTGAAGGACAGGGAGGAAGTGTGAGAGAGTCTGAAGGACAGGGAGGAAGTGTGTGAGAGTCTGAAGGACAGGGAGGAAGTGTGAGAGAGTCTGAAGGACAGAGAGGAAGTGTGTGAGAGTCTGAAGGACAGGGAGGGAGTGAGAGAGAGGCTGAAGGACAGAGAGGAAGTGAGAGAGAGAGTCTGAGGGACCGGGAGGAAGTGTGAGAGAGACTGAGGGACAGGGAGGGAGTGAGAGAGAGGCTGAAGGACAGAGAGGAAGTGAGAGAGAGAGTCTGAGGGACCGGGAGGAAGTGTGAGAGAGACTGAGGGACAGGGAGGGAGTGAGAGAGAGGCTGAAGGACAGAGAGGAAGTGAGAGAGAGAGTCTGAGGGACCGGGAGGAAGTGTGAGAGAGACTGAGGGACAGGGAGGGAGTGAGAGAGAGGCTGAAGGACAGAGAGGAAGTGAGAGAGAGAGTCTGAGGGACCGGGAGGAAGTGTGAGAGAGACTGAGGGACAGGGAGGGAGTGAGAGAGAGGCTGAAGGACAGAGAGGAAGTGAGAGAGAGAGTCTGAGGGACCGGGAGGAAGTGTGAGAGAGACTGAGGGACAGGGAGGGAGTGAGAGAGAGGCTGAAGGACAGAGAGGAAGTGAGAGAGAGAGTCTGAGGGACCGGGAGGAAGTGTGAGAGAGACTGAGGGACAGGGAGGGAGTGAGAGAGAGGCTGAAGGACAGAGAGGAAGTGAGAGAGAGAGTCTGAGGGACCGGGAGGAAGTGTGAGAGAGACTGAGGGACAGGGAGGGAGTGAGAGAGAGGCTGAAGGACAGAGAGGAAGTGAGAGAGAGAGTCTGAGGGACCGGGAGGAAGTGTGAGAGAGACTGAGGGACAGGGAGGGAGTGAGAGAGAGGCTGAAGGACAGAGAGGAAGTGAGAGAGAGAGTCTGAGGGACCGGGAGGAAGTGTGAGAGAGACTGAGGGACAGGGAGGGAGTGAGAGAGAGGCTGAAGGACAGAGAGGAAGTGAGAGAGAGAGTCTGAGGGACCGGGAGGAAGTGTGAGAGAGACTGAGGGACAGGGAGGGAGTGAGAGAGAGGCTGAAGGACAGAGAGGAAGTGAGAGAGAGAGTCTGAGGGACCGGGAGGAAGTGTGAGAGAGACTGAGGGACAGGGAGGGAGTGAGAGAGAGGCTGAAGGACAGAGAGGAAGTGAGAGAGAGAGTCTGAGGGACCGGGAGGAAGTGTGAGAGAGACTGAGGGACAGGGAGGGAGTGAGAGAGAGGCTGAAGGACAGAGAGGAAGTGAGAGAGAGAGTCTGAGGGACCGGGAGGAAGTGTGAGAGAGACTGAGGGACAGGGAGGGAGTGAGAGAGAGGCTGAAGGACAGAGAGGAAGTGAGAGAGAGAGTCTGAGGGACCGGGAGGAAGTGTGAGAGAGACTGAGGGACAGGGAGGGAGTGAGAGAGAGGCTGAAGGACAGAGAGGAAGTGAGAGAGAGAGTCTGAGGGACCGGGAGGAAGTGTGAGAGAGACTGAGGGACAGGGAGGGAGTGAGAGAGAGGCTGAAGGACAGAGAGGAAGTGAGAGAGAGAGTCTGAGGGACCGGGAGGAAGTGTGAGAGAGACTGAGGGACAGGGAGGGAGTGAGAGAGAGGCTGAAGGACAGAGAGGAAGTGAGAGAGAGAGTCTGAGGGACCGGGAGGAAGTGTGAGAGAGACTGAGGGACAGGGAGGGAGTGAGAGAGAGGCTGAAGGACAGAGAGGAAGTGAGAGAGAGAGTCTGAGGGACCGGGAGGAAGTGTGAGAGAGACTGAGGGACAGGGAGGGAGTGAGAGAGAGGCTGAAGGACAGAGAGGAAGTGAGAGAGAGAGTCTGAGGGACCGGGAGGAAGTGTGAGAGAGACTGAGGGACAGGGAGGGAGTGAGAGAGAGGCTGAAGGACAGAGAGGAAGTGAGAGAGAGAGTCTGAGGGACCGGGAGGAAGTGTGAGAGAGACTGAGGGACAGGGAGGGAGTGAGAGAGAGGCTGAAGGACAGAGAGGAAGTGAGAGAGAGAGTCTGAGGGACCGGGAGGAAGTGTGAGAGAGACTGAGGGACAGGGAGGGAGTGAGAGAGAGGCTGAAGGACAGAGAGGAAGTGAGAGAGAGAGTCTGAGGGACCGGGAGGAAGTGTGAGAGAGACTGAGGGACAGGGAGGGAGTGAGAGAGAGGCTGAAGGACAGAGAGGAAGTGAGAGAGAGAGTCTGAGGGACCGGGAGGAAGTGTGAGAGAGACTGAGGGACAGGGAGGGAGTGAGAGAGAGGCTGAAGGACAGAGAGGAAGTGAGAGAGAGAGTCTGAGGGACCGGGAGGAAGTGTGAGAGAGAGTCTGAGGGACAGGGAGGAAGTGTGAGAGAGTCTGAAGGACAGGGAGGAAGTGTAAGAGTCTGAAGGACAGGGAGGAAGTGTGAGAGTCTGAGGGACAGGGAGAAACAGGGAGGAAGTGTGAGAGAGTCTGGAAGATGGTACAACCAAACAAGTTGTGAAAACCTAAACATGTCAAACAAAATAAGGGCAAGAAAGTCTAAGGCATTTTCACAAAATAGAAAAGCCAATAGCTTAAGAGTCTCATGATCCAAAGAAAGTAGATTGGCACTAGGACAAAAATTAGAACATAAACAAATCTATAGTACACGCTACACAGAACATCTGAAGTTCACATTTATTCTAAATAGACTAGGAAGGCCAGCGGAACTCAGATCTAGACTGTATTGCTACAGGGCCTGGGATGAACTAGCCAGCAGCTGCAGTAACCCAGGGGAAAATGACTTGAGCCACTATGGTGAGCCAATGGGAGAGATCAGTTCTGCAACACACATGGCAGCCAGAACTACTTACTGCTGGATTGGGTTCATTCAGGTTAAAAGCAAGGGGGAGCCCAGGGGAACCCTTAAATTTTGAGTGAAGTACTTAGATGGTGATGCTGTACATTATGGTGTCTTCTTGGATCTCTATCATAAGAACCTTTACTTTGTTCAGGCTTGATTTGGGATGCCTGTTGAACATAATATGTGAGACACAGAAACAGGACAGAGAAGTTTTCAATTCTCTATGTAGTGACGGAGAGTAAAAGTCAGAGTGGGACTAGCATGTATGGTATCGATGAGCAGTCAGATCACCAGAGAACATACAAAGAACAGAGCCTAAAAAAGCACTCTCAGACAAACAAGGGACCAGCAACAGAAGTGAGAACAGGACTGGATAGTGTCTGGTGAGCGCTGCTTCTTAAGAGCATACAGGAGCTAATAGCATCTGTGGACCAGTGAGGTGCCTGACAGAAGTTAAGCTATGGCCTCACTTGGGGGATAGCTCTGCCCAGAACTCAGGGAAAACAGCAATGGACCCAAAATCTCTTAGAATTGTTCAAACAGACGCAGTCAACATATGAAAATGATCCCTCCATAGAGGGCAGGCTACAGAGAGGACAGGCTCCCCAAGAGCAAGGCTGCAGACAACTCAGAGCTGAAATTTCACCAAATCTGGGAATCATGCAGGAATTCCTCACATGTATTTCTTCAATGGAATTTTATTTTGTTAAAAAGTGGCCTCATGAAGCTATAAAATTAGCAATATCTTGTTTACTACATTACCTAAATATTTAAAGTTGTGATTATAGGGAACTATAAACCCCCAAAATGTTACTTCAAATAATTTTACATATTGTTATGAATTTTTAACATTTTACAAGGTAATCAACTATCAAAATATACATCTAAGGTTACAACTTTAGCTTAAAACTGAAGATAACCAGAAGTCTCCTCAGCAGTGATTTGATACGCATCTTGAGAGGAAATTTGCCATAAGAAGGAAATACCAGAGAATGAGCAGAGACATGGTATTTCCTAAGTTTACGAGCAGTACATCCAGGCCAACTCAAAGCCACACCCCTCCAGTTATAAAGGCCCAGCATAAACCACTCCTCTTCCTCTATCTGCACAAAAGAAAACAGGTAACACGAGGCGTCCCAGGAGTCCTACTGTACCTGACACCAGGTGCTTCTCGGACAGCATGATCTTTGTAACAGGGCTTCGGTGGACTGTGAAGGTCTGGAACAGCTGCGGCCCTGACCCGACTGTCTCTGGGTGCTGCACAATCACTCTCACGGCTCCAGAGCTTGTACCGTACGCTATCTCAATCCAGTTTCCGCTGACACCTAGGAGCCACAGTGCAAAGGCAGGTTGTTGTATGATGGTTAAGGAAAGCTGTCCTTGGAAGCCTCGCTGTGGTGACACAGGCAGAGCTGGAGTCAGAGCGATGTACGTAGGTAGGTACTAGAAACCTCTGCTCCTTGCTGACAAACTGAAGCAGCCCTCAGAATGGCCGAGACATAGTACTCCCTCAGTACGATTTAGAATATGAATGACCCTGCTGTTCCAGGTGACCAGTGGAAGAGCACCCCACAGCAGCCTTCCGTGGACTAACAGCTCGGAGTGGTCTGGGCTTTTTACTGCTGCTACAGTACTGAGCCATCCTTGAGCCAGGTGTCACCTACACAAACAATTGCCAACACCACTAAGTGGACAGGCAAGCCACCTGCCATGCTCAACCACACTGACAGCCATGATGCCTCCTCCAATCCAGCTGCCTCAGCTGTAGGTCTGCATTTCTTTTTCTCTCCTCCCTGTTTCAAAAGGCTTGTTTTTATTTTATGTGTATGGCTGCTTTGCCTGCATGCATATCTGTGTATCAGCTGCATACATGCCTGGTACCTCTGCAGCCACAAGACAGTGTCAGCTCTCCTGGAACCAGAGTCATAGGCAGTGTGATCTGCCGTCTTAGTTCCAGGGACAAAACCTCAGTCCTCTGGAAGAGCAACAAGGCGCTCCTGCCCTGGTAGCTTTTCTTTTCTTTTCTAACAGGTGCCATATCCCAGCACACATCAGAAGGCAGACAGGCGCTTACTTGCTGCTCTGTATTCTAACACGATTCACAGGTGGAAAACTGTGGGCTTCACTTCCACCCACCTGAAAAACCCACCAGTCAAAGGGAGAGAGCACAGAACACATCGGGACACTCCAGGGACACTCCAGCAGATCAGAGACGCCATTCTCATGCTTCCTAAGCTTGTCCACAGGAGGGACTTGGATTTCTAGAACTTTCCAAGTTTGACCTCTTACTGTATGTTAGACTGGGTGGGAATCCATACTTCATTCTGTTCATCCCAGAGCAGAGCTCAGCAAGCTTTCTCTAAAGGGACAAGCAGTAATTAAGTGTTTTAAATTCTCCTTTCCACACTGTGTCACAACCTCTCAGCTCTATCAGTGAAAGCAGCCAAGGACAGTGCACAGAACTACTGAAAAAAGAAAACAGGGAGGGAGGGGAGAGAAGAGGGAGGAAGAGACAGGGCTAGCATGAGTAACAACCCGAGGTTTTGCGGTCCCCAGTCTAGAAAGTACGATTTAAACTGACTAAGCCTTCAGCCACTTTAGCACTATCACCCGGTAGTGCAGATGACTGTCTTGTCTAATGAATTCAGGAAAATGATGCCGTGCACAAGCATCGCATTCAAGCACACAGTCTGTCCCCAGGCACACGTTAACATGCTAGTATTTCTCGGCACTCCTTCATTACAAGGCATCTTCTAGAACAGTAAACTCGTCAATAGCCCCAAGGCTGGCCGTGTACTGACTTGTTTTGGGGGTGAGGTAAACACTCAGCGCAGTGATGGCGTCATTCGAGGGGTCGTGATAGAGTTCAGTGACAAGGAGGTCATTATCCTTCATCCGTAATGGGAACTTCTGCATGTCTGAAGACAAGAACACATGCACTCAGAGCCACAGGGGGCGAGGTCTCCATGTCCTCAGGTATAAAGCACGCTGGACACTCACCTATGTAATATATCGATCCATTGTTGCATCCCAGGAGAAGGAAGGAGCCCGCAGTGTCGTAACTGGTTATTGGAACAACATCCTGCACCTGATGCGGAGACAGTATTACAAGTTAGGAAGTATCCTTTCTTATTTAAAAACATTTAGTTTTCATTTTCGATATTAACCCCAGTTCCCCCCCTCCATCTACTCCTCATAGCGGGTAAGGCCTTCCTTGGGGAGTCAACAAAGTCTGATGTGCCAGGCTGAGGCAGGACCAAGCCATTCCCCCTGTATCGAAGCTGAGGAAGGTATCCAAAAGGCCAGTACATGCCACTGGGATGGGTCCTGGTGCCACTTTCCACACTTTTGTGAGTCTTTGGGTGTTTAGGAAGGCTTAGGTAATGAGCTGTCTGTCAGCCCCAGTGACCCGGGAAGCACCCAGATGGCTGTGAAGACACATGTTAGCTGCATCCCACACACACAGCCCGTGCTCTCCCAGGTCAGCTGCTTCACATGTTCCTCCTGTCTGCCATCAGCTGCACCACAGCCCCCAGAAGTGGAAGGCCAAGGCAAACTTCACGCTTCCCTCCCATCTCCCTCAGATAAGATGAAGTGCTGCAGCCACGTGGTGCGTAATCAGAGCTGGAGAGCAGCACAAGTGACGTTCACAGTGCAGCCGCCAGACAACCTGTTACAGTCTCTTCAAGCGGACAGTGTCCTGTTTATACTGTCCTTACCGAGGCGGCTTCCCGGGTGACTCGCTTTCCAGGCGCTACAACTAAACAGCGCCTCCTCAAAGCCATCAGTCTACTTTGCGAACAAGTAACTAAATCCAAAGGAGTGAAGTTACCACGAAAAGTAAAACCAGGAAACCAAAGAGCGGCAGCTTCAGGCACAGGACTAAATGTCTATTGCAGGCAAGAGAGTGTGGCTCCATGTTGTGGAGTCGTGAGCTCAGGAGGCCAAGACAGACGCCTGGCCATTAACTCTGCACTGAGGATCCAGCCCTTCTTGTTTCCCAGCAAGGAGGTCTATGGAGTCCTCTTCATGTGTGCACGGTATGTTCGTGCTACAGCCCATCTAAGGAAGCATGCACTCCGACAGAGAGGGAAAACTATCAGATAATTCTGGTGTCAGGCAGAGGCAAGGTGTGTAGTGTAACCACAGAGGAGAGGAGAAAAGGGGAGGGGAGGGAAGGGAATGGGAGGGGGTGGCAGTGGTCAGGAGAGGAACTAGAGAGTGGGACTCCATCAGTCCACACCAAGAGAAGCGTCTTCCAGAACACGAAGAGCAGGCAGAGCAGAGGCCACTCCAGCTACACAACAGGCACCTGGAGTGAAGGCTTCCTCTAAGCTGTTTGCACGTAGGGACCTCTGCTCTGAGCGCATGTTTTCAGTTCTAGTCACAAGCTGCACTAGGAAGTCTTGCAGACAACACCAGCATCTCACCTCAATCAGGGTCAGTCCTCTCGGAGAGCATGGAGCACCCCACATAGCCTGACACTACCCGTGCTCCTGAGCTGGAAGTAAGGCTGTCAGAGGAAAGGGAGCTTCGCCTCCTCTCTCCCATGCCCTGGCTCTAGCTGGCGGCATCTCTCCAGCCTCAGCACTGCACCTTCCACACCTACACCTGGGTTTCTATGGCAGGAAGCAGACGGGTCAGCCCCGGACTCCACCCTTTGGAGCCACTTTTTGTTGAGATTGGTAGCGGCCTAGAGCAAGGCTCACCTCAGGAAAATGCTGTCAGCTGGTCTGCAGGAAGATGGCCCCCTCCCCACCTCTCCCCACCCCTCCCCAGGTCCAGCCTACTCTATAAAGCCACCAGGAGTTCACTCTGGATCCTTGCTGGGGTCAGTGTCTCGTCCTCAAATCTCCACTGTTGAGTCACCACTGAAGCAACTGTAACTGTGAGTCCCCACCCCTCACAATGAACACATGAAACACTCTCCATTTTTTTTTTTTTTTTAGGTTTTTTCGAGACAGGGTTTCTCTCTTTGGAGCCTATCCTGGCACTCGCTCTAGAGACCAGGCTGGCCTCGAACTAGGAAGTGACCCCTACCCTGGGCACATTCTATGGTTTAGACAGGGGCAATCCCCAGGCCCTCTTTGGGTCACACCTGGCTGGCCAACAGACGGCCACTCTCCATCTTTTAAGAGGCTAAGTATATATACCCCACAGTTGCTGTCCAGCACAAATATCCACAGGATTTTCCGTGTTCTGATATGAGAATTAAGCATGTAATCAATCTTTGTTTAAATCTGTCTTTGAGTCTAATTTAAACTCCAAAAACTTGGGAATGATGCCTACAGGGTGCTGCTCTCTGCAGGGTGCTTAGGCTGAGCCACCTATCTGACAACACTAATGAACACACTATAACACTAACCCTTTGTGACATCATGCTACATGTGTGTGCTGTGCTGCAGGAGAAGGGAGAGATTAAACTAACAGGGAATGAGGAATAAGGCCCCAATTTCTTATCTCGACTAGAATGGTTTTTAGAACATTTCATCAGCGTTTTATTAAGGCAGGGTTGAGATGCTGACAGAAAACTATGAAGTTTACAATGTTTTCTAAGATAAAATGCAGATGTGAAGCTTAGTGACTAATATTTCAAATCCATGGACATTTAAAGCCAAGAACTCAGGGTTGCCCTGTGCACTTCCTCTGCTATTTGTGGCCAGAATGTTGCTCAAGGCCACCTCAGAACCTTGTCATCTAGTGCTGGCAGTCCTGGGAGCCAGCCTCTAGTCAGAGCTGTCTATTAACATCTGCAGACAGGAGGCTGAGGCCACACAACAGATCATCTCCAAGACACACTAGGTGAAATCCAGCTGGTTGATAAAGCTCGTTTGCTATGGGGAAGACAACTTTGCCAGGGTCTTTCTGAAATGTGCAACAAATCCTTATGTCAGATATATTTTTCAGCCACACATGCACCAGGCACAAAGAACTGGGTGACAGACAAAACACCCAAGGCTAAGATCAGCAAGACGTGACCAGCTTGAGTCTGGATCTCAGAGCTACAAAAACCTTTATGCATATTTCTGACAACAGTGAGAGGCCAGAAGGCGGTAAAGGAGCGCTCCTGTCAGGGTCACGGGACAGCGCTTCCATGCGTGGACCACGTGGCTCTGCTGTAGCACAGCTGACACAGTGCAGCTCCCTACCTCACTCTCTCTCGCAGGGAGGCACCAGCAGCAGAAGAGCCTGCCAGCTCCCCTCCCCTCCACCCGTGTCAGTGTGTCTCCATGTTCCCCGGCCTGTTCCTGTCACACTGACAACCACTGCAATGCCTTTGCTCCACTCGTTACCCCGTCTATGCAACCCCGATTTCTGCCTCTGCACTGAAATTCAAACCTTCTCCCCACACTAAGGTTCCCCTTAACTGAGACTCGTCCACTGTCACCAGCTCCCATTCCTCAGTCCTAAGGTCTCAGGATGTTCCTCCAGAACCTCGTGCCAATCATTGTCCCATCCCTGGAGCCCACTCTTCCCCTCTGCAGAGTATCTTGTCATCTGTCTCAGCTGAACTGTTTGCTATTTTCTATCCCCAATGCCTGCATGCCCACACAGATGCCCCTAGGGCTCGCTTTCACCACTACATGCTGGGTTCATTCCAAGACCTGCAACATACCAAAGCCCTGAATGCACAAATATAACAAGACGTAGTATTTGCAGGTCACATCCACTCACTCCATCTTCTCTTGACTCCCTAGCACTTTCTAATACGAATGCTATTCAATCCGCTGGGATCTGTAGTGTTTAGGGACAATAATTAGGAAAATGCCAATTCTGTTTTGGAATGCTCTCAATCCAGCTGGCCGAACCTATGGATGTAAAATCCAGGGGAGTAGAAAGCTGGCTGCATTTTCAAGTCAGCTCAACAAGAGACTAAACAGGCTGCCCGCCAAGGACGGCGAGGAATACACCAACCGCACACCACCACCACGTTCTTCCCAGTCCTTTCCTTTATCAATCCACATACGTTCCCTCCAGGCCCCTGGCGTCCCTGTATCTCTCCCTGCCTTCCCAGAGCTTCCTTGTTACCTTGGTTTGACCAACCTTGAGCATGAAACTGTGGTCACTTCTATAATGAGCATTAATTCAGACTAACCTGCCAATGTTGAGTGACTGCATTCCACACTCCCACTTTCCCTGTGTGACTCGTGGCCACCAACTGGTTCCCAATAAAGAAGAGGGCATCTACAGGAACACCAAGACTGAACACACCTTCAAAGGCAAAAGCAAACAGAGACATTAATCAGGCACCATTTTTATATCAGTTACAACCTAGATTAAAACCATCTCCACGGTTACTGATTTAAGCCTATGGATTGTGTTCTATGCTCACTAGGAACCAGAAATAAGACAGAACCTCCAAGTTCTTAAGCCTTTCTGAACTCCTGAAGCAGAGGGGACTGCCCAGAATTCTCCCATAGCTGTGCTGTCTCACCGTCCTCAGTCTTATAGGCAGGAATAGAAAGGACTTTGGGATTATGCAAGACCTGGTAAGAGCTGCTGGAAATTCAAAGGTAGGCTGCCATGGACTAGATCTTGGGGACACTGACTAAAGACAAACACTTGGCAACCCAACTATCCTGAAGGTGTCTAAAAATGCAGAAAGAAGCAAACAGAAGACCAAAAAGTCAGGATGCAGTCAACACAAGCATTTGAGCCTTCAATTACAGGGTTATTTTAACTCACTTTCCAGCATTTACATTTCACTCATAAAGACTAAAAATGAACTGTGTAAAGCGGAGGGTTTCTAGAAAAAGAAACACAAGAGACTGATTTTAGCAGGACTTACAGTTTAGTAAAGTGCATTATTAACTCTAATACAACGGATGGATGCACAGGGACACCAACACTGGGAGGGACAAAGGAGAGAGAGAGATGGTTGAGGAACAAGTCATGTGAGTTCAGTTTTTCGATGTCTACAGTGTCATCAAGCTGGAGAATCAGAAAGGGTCAGTTAAACTGTAAGAAAAAGGCACTGTGAACGAAGAGACATCCATACTAGGGCAAGAGTTAAGACTTCTGGCTGCTCTCAGGTGACATGTGAGGCCTAGGCGCTGGTCTGTCTCCAGCAGTGTCTGGACAGGAAGCCTGGCTCTGATGAGTTACCATCATCGCCAGACTTCCTGTTCTTCCTCTACCATCTATGAAAAGCTCAAGCCAAATGTCTGGCACCATTTTCACTATAAAAATGGTGTGCTCAGACACTAAATGGTGACAATAAAACATCTTATTTGAGAAACACCTCTGGAATGTTTCTGAATCCAACAAATGGGGAAACTGAGTCCATCCATAAACCCTGCTTTACGTGGGCCATTACAGAAGTGCCCGTGTGCCAATGTGAAGAATGTTTTCAACATTTAGCTACCAAAACAAAGACTCAGGGGCCCTTAAAGAACTCGGGAGGAAACAAGGTGTACTTTAAAAAAACACAACCCAGACAAGATGACTATTTCTCCTCATAGCAGCATTGGGCACCTTCTTTGTGTTCAGGACATCTCACTGCACTTTCAAAGTTCTAAAGCATTCTCGAAGAAAGTCTTGGGGCCAGCCAGATGGCTTAGGAGAGAAAAGTGCAGGCCTGACAACCTGAGTCAGAGCCACAAAACCTACAATAGAAAGAGAAAACGGACTCCCAAAAGATGTGCCTGGAGCCCAATGCAACATGACACATGCTCACGCCTGTAACCACTCAGACTCACGTATTTTAAATGTCAGAACTCAAGCAGTAAGAAAGGTGACATAAATGGATAAAGCCAAAACTCAGAAGAGAATCTGAGATCCAGCTGGGAACTATTACATATGTAAGTGTCTGTATAAATACATTTTTACATATCAGACACACAACTACAACACCTGCCAACCAAGACAGAGCAAAGTAAGCTACAAGATACATAAATCACCACTACTGCCCTTTGACAAAAACAGATAAAGAAACAAACAGCACCAAAGCAGAAGGTAGTAACCCTACATTATACACAAGTATTACCATAGCAGTACTGTGGCTCTGAGGCAGGACGACTTCTAAAACAATTGAAGCCAATTGCACTCAGTCCTGCGGCAGAAATTAAAGCAAGCTGCTTTTCCTCAGGAGAAGGGTGAGGTTTTGGGAAATCAAGGACGACAATGTGAATGGCCTCAGGAAGTGGAAGTGTCGCTCCCACTTAGGCTCAAGGACCTTGACCACTGTCTCGGCAGGGAGGGCAACAGCGTGAGCTCTGATGACCTCCATCCAGCCTCACACAAGCAATACTACCTGCTGCAGCAGTCCTGCAGCGTCCCCCGAGTTGCAGGGCAGAGCTTCAGCCTCGGGAGAGCCTACCATGGACCCACCAGCCAATAATGCTCTCTGGATGATGGTGTCAACTTCTGAAGGACAGCACACAAGTGGCTACCTTTACAGGACATGAACCAACTGCTATGGGACCAGCTCCTACCACGGCTCCCTATCACGCTAGTCTTTGGAAACAAACTGAGGAGTAAATCACAGCTTGTCGGCCTGCTTTCTTAAATACTGCCCAGCGGTGGTGACCAGGACCCTTCACATCAATCATCAATCAAGAGAATGTACCACAGGCTTGCCCACGGGCCAACCTGAGGCTCTCTCTCCCCAAATGACTCTAGCTTGTGTCAAGCTGGCATCAAACTAGCCAGCATGGCAGTGTGTACTTAACATTAAAATTTGTTTTCTAACAAACTGAAGGGAGAAGGCCATACTATCAACCATGATAGGACAAATGATATTCAATTATTCCACACTTTAAAACACTAACAGCAAAACTGGAAAAAATACAAGGTGACATTTAAAGCAATGAACAAAAGGCAGCAAAGGACTCAAGATTCAGGCAACTCTGTCTTCCTGGATTCCAGGATTCCCATCACCATACAGAGATGAACACTGTGTGGTGGGACGGACACGGACACGGACACACACAACACACAACACACAACACACAACACACAACACACACACACACGGAAATTGCACAGGGGTTTCGCTAAGGTCACATCACCACAGAGATAGCATGGGGGTGGGGGTGGAGACCATACAGAGGTGGCCACTGAGTGACAGTATGGGGGTGGGGCACAGAAGTTACACAGGGGTTTCACTAAAGACACCCAAAGGATAAATGAAGGGGTTCTATGAGGGTATGGAATGGTGGGAAGTCCCAAGAGCCACAGGTAGATAAGATGCCATCTCAGAGTGGCATGCCTTGCTTGAAGACTTCAGACCCTCACTGAGAGGAAACAAGGAAGGAGAGAGGGAGAAGGTGGAGAAAGAGATTTGGTATTTGGCACACTGTTCCCCAGAAATAAACAAAACAAACCTAATTCAAGGAAAACATCAGATGTTACTTGTTACCAGCTATAAAAAGCCAGTTTCGTGCTGTGGGATATTTGTACACTGTGGGAAGGTGCATTACTGTGAATGCTGAAATAAAACCAATACGACCGAGAGCTAGGCAGGCAGGAGGTATAGGTGGGATTTCCAGGGAAAAGAGGAGGAGGGGGAATCTAGGGTAGACAGCCTCGGACACTGACAGGAAACAGAAGGTACAAGAGGGAAGAGAGGTAAAGCCACATGACAGAACATAGATTAATATAAATGAGTTAAAATTAAGTTATAAAAGCTAGTTAGGAACAAGCCTAAGCCATAGGCCAAGCTTTATAATTAATAATAAGTCTCTGTGTCATTATTTGTGGGGAGACGGCTGATGGAAAACCACTACTGAAGTTTCAGGTGAAGATGAGTATTCTGAAGACCTCACCTGACAGGAAGGTGACCACTTCCTAACACAGGGAGTCAAATGTGTGACTAGTGCTCATGTAAGGCCTGGTGTCAGCGTTTACAATGAATGTTATCAGTGTCCAGAGAAGCTGCCTAACTCAGCAAGCCAACATTTCCAACTGACAAGCACAGTACTCCAGATCCAGGCCTGGAGTAAAGACCACATTCGAAGAGCAAAGCAGGCTGGTAGGTTTCAATTCAGCAGTCAGAAAAGTTGCACAATTCTGGTGCAAGATTCAAGGGAAAGAGCCACAGTTATCTGAAAGGATTCAAAAAATAAAAAAGTTTTCCCAACTGTTTATCTGTTTCAGGCCACCCTGTCTTTGTACATATCAACAAAAACAATGTATCACAGAAAACTAAATACAGAAACAGACTTAAGAATTACAAAAGAGGAGGCTGGAGAGATGACTCAGTGGTTAAGAGCACTGGATGTTCTTCCAGAAGTCCCGAGTTCAATTCCCAGCAACCACATTGTGGCTCACAACTGTCGGTAATGAGATCTGGTGCTCTCTTCTGGCCTGCAGAAAGACATGTACACAGAAACACTGTACACATAATAAATACCTAAATCTTTAAAAAAAATGATATTTAAAAAAATTACAAAAGACATTGCACAGGGCTATGGAGAGGGTCAAATGAGTAACAGTGCTTGCTGAATATACATGAGGGCCCAAGTTCAGATTCCCAGCACACACCTGAAAATTCAGAGAGAAAAATGTCCTAGCTGCCTGTAACCTAGGGTTAGCGATAGGATGTAAGCAGACAGTGGGATCACTGGGCTTGCTGCTCAGCCTAGGAAAAACCCAGCAAGCTCCAAGTCAGTGAATGACTGCCTCAAGGGAGTAAGGCAGAGAATGATAGGGCAGGACACCCTACGTATTCCTGAAAATCCACAGACATGTACACTGACGCACATAGGCAGAAGCCACATGTATGCACACATACACATGAAACAAAAGTTTAAAAAGACATCATGGAGATCTATGTCTCACAAGTTTCCTTTTTGGAAAACATCTCTTTTGTTAACATGTAATTTGAACTACCATTCAATGAGTTTAGTACTGCTGATTTTTTTTATATCAATAGTGTTTAAAACTGTGAATTTAATTTCTAGCAAGGTGAATGCCAATAGATAACAACCTATACGATGACACTTTCTGGTCTTGACTAACCTAAGAGAGCTCTGGTTCTGAGAAATCTTGCTATAGAAACAAGACAACATGAGCTACTTACCCACCCTCAGAGGGGGAGAGTGGAGGGAAACAGCCACCACTCAATGGAACTGAGAGCAAGGAGCAACTTTCTGTGCTGCATCCAGGCTTGAACAGAGCAAACTGAACCCCAGGGCTCCCTCCTGAGGCGTCAGTGTCTCCCTCTGACACACCATCCTCTCACTCAGTAGGCCTATGGCCACCGGGCCCCAGCAGGAAGTGTCACAGGCCGAGCTGGCTGTCTCACTTACATGGACAACCGCCCACCACCATGGAAAACTCTCCTACCGATTTCACTTCCACTTCCTCCGTCCTGGACGCTCCACAGGATGATGCTGCTCTCTGAGGCCACGGCCACCATTTTGTCTTTGTCTCCATGAGGACCTCCAACCACTTTTGCATTTAAAGCCACTCTTTCAATGGTCCAGTCCAGATATGGGCTTGTAAACACTTGCTGCCATCCCGAAGACTCTTTGATTCTGTTAAGACATAAATCAACATAGCAAAAAAAAAAACCAAGATCACACCTTCTACCTACCTATGTTTACTGAATGCAATTGATATATCATCTACTATCATAGAATATTACAGAATATTACTTTAACTGTGTAAAGCTGTGCTACATTTGTTTATGCTGCATTTGTTTAATGATGTAAAGATGTGTGTTAAATTATGGATCTGTTTCACCTTGCTTGGCTAAGACACCTGATTGGTCTAACAAAAACCTACATAGCCAATAGCTAGAGAGGACAAAGGATAGGCAGGGTTAGAAGTCAGAATAAAAGGAGGAGAAATCTAGGCTTAAGAGGAGATGAGAGAGAAGGAGAAGAGAATGAGAAAGACACCTAGGGCAAGAAGCCAAGCAGCCATCAGACAGAGAGTCAGCAAGAAAATAAGGAAAAGATAAAAAGCCCAGAGGCAAAAGGTAGAGAGATTAAACAGGTCCATTTAAAAGAGCTTAAGCTAGGTAGAACACTTACAACTAATCATTAGTCTGTGTTGTGATTTGGGAGCTAGCCCCAAAGAAAAAACCTGGTACAATCTAAAGACAGTATTATTCCTGATCTTACATTTACATACATAGGACACATGACCACAAAAAAGGACTAGAATATGTATTTCTCCAAAGAATTTTAAGTTTTATAAAATGCTTTTAAATTTTTTTTTTAATATAGTTGTATTTCTCACATTTCCCCACAAAGCTATTACTGTCATTCTGTACGGACAATGATGGCCAACAACAGTCAGAATTTTAGATGGAGTTTGCATTCCTTCCTGTTAGCAATCATATTAACGCTGTCACTAGTGTGGCATGGTGAGAACTGGTCTCTGTACTCTAGGTGGCATTACATCATAACTTGAGTTCCCTAGAACAGAAGCACAGTGAGGCTGAGAAGTCTTCTGAGATGGTTTATAGACTCCAGATGCAAACCTTCACCAGACCGCTGATTCCAGCAAGAACATCTTTCGGTTTCCCCAGTGAGTATAGGTGATAGCCCCCTTGGGGTCTCCTCCTTCTCCTCCTTCTCCTTCTCCTTCTCCTCCTTCTCCTTCTCCCTCCTCCCCCTCCTCCTCCTCCCCCCCTTCCCCTGTCTCTCTGAGATAAGGTCTTCTGTGTACTTGATGCTGGCCTGAAGTACAACTCACTCCTCCTGGCTCAGACTCTCAAGAGCTGATTGGAGACCGGGACCACCATGCCTGGTTCCCACTTTCAATAGATTCCTCTGTCCTATGTGGATTTAGGTCTTCCAGACAGGTATTCTATGTGACGGCACAGCAAGCCTCCAAGGTCACAGCCTGGTTATATCATCATGACGATGAAATCAGCGAAAGTATCATCCTGGTCCTGCCTAGCAGGTGGAGGACAAAGCTGCCCTTTCACTCTATGGCACTCGGTGAAATCTAACCTGGTGGCCATTGGCAGAGCATGTGCTGTTTAATTGGCACAGGCACGAGCCACCACTTTCATTTAAATATGTATGCTCAAGGAGTACAACCACAGCTCACTAAATTAAGCCTTAACCAAGAATTAATGTTTTCCTAACTTAAGCTTCAAAGCAATAAAGGGTAAAATTTAACAATTTTCCCCACATTTTAAGATCTGTAATTACCATTCTCAGCCACCAGATGGGAGTGATGTGTTAAGATAAACAAAATCACTTATCCACTGAACTTAAAAACTGACAACTATTGAAAGAATGAAATGTAGAGTTTTATACTCTCTCAGACTGGGCACAAAGCAGGGATTGTCCACACTGCAGGACTAATGCCACACTTGGGGGTGTGTGGGGGGGGTGAGATCTTTTGGCTCTGAGAGTGGCCTATGGGCAAGCACACAGTGGCCACCACACCATCCTCCAGAGGCCACCACACCATCCTCCATTGTAAATTATCCTATAAAAGACCATGATCTTAAAAGGTTCTATGAAATGCCTTTTGAAATCTATTTTATCATCAATCTGCTGTGTGATCTGAAGTTTACAAGGAAAGCCAACACGGTCACCCTCCATTATTAACACACTGTTGCATCACCAGCTACAGGGAGACTGTGCCAGCCTAAGCAAGAGACCACAAAAGCAGATGCAAGCAATGACGTGAACAGCACAGCATCTCTCTTCCTTCTCCCAACCGTCCTCCTGTGGGATTCTCTTCAACACTCTATATAGCATGGTGACAGGGCACAGCTGCCACACTACGTAACCATCACAACCAAGCAAGTTCCTAGAATCCCTGTCAATAATTAAACAACCAGTTTAGACTCAGATAATGGTAAATACAAAACAACTATAAAAAAATCCGTTCGCTAAATTAATCCCATGATATATGAGCTATCTACAAAATAACCACCCCATATTTCTATACTCTTTGGCAATTAAAAACCTGAAAAGCACTCAGGACAAAGTCACCTTACTCACCACTGCAACCAAAGCCACACCCAAGCAGGTGGCATGCAGCTCCCTCCAGAGGCAAACCTGCATGGCACACTTTCAGTATTCGCAATGGGACTGTAAACAAGTCCTAAAGGATTGTTCAAAACTTCAGCTATTTTTTTTTTCTAAACCAAAGTGACAAAAATTTCTAACTTCTTTGACTTTAAAAACAACAAAGTTAGATGCACTCAAAGTGAGGGAGTAAATTCTGGCCACCTCTCTGCCTCTGCTATCAGCAGCACTGCCTGTGGCCCACAGAGTCTAACTTCCCCAGTTAAAAACAAACAAGCTCACTTTGGACTCTGCACTCCTTTTCACCACTTACAGTCTAATCCAAGTACCTTAAACCTCCGCACGCTGGAGACACTGAGCTGTGTCACTCTCCACACACTGCTCTCTGCCTGGCTACTCCCAACTGTGTGGCAACTCTACAGCACAGAGCTCCCCCCGGCTCTGCTGCACAGTACGGCACTGACTCATCATGAAAAAGAAACTGCAGAGCTCACATTAGAATCCTGCCTGATGCTGTCAATGTAATAACTAAGTGAGCCAGAAAGAGCAACATATCTCCTCTGCACCACAGATTCCACTGTCTGGGAAACACAGCAGCCAATTAGGCTATCAGAATTAGGTACTAGAGTAGGTATCAAGTAAAAACTAAATTTTTACCAAGTGAAGCGGGAAAACCTGGTGGCTAGAACAAATATATTCAATGTAAACAGACAATATAATTACCTAAAATAAAACCAAATGACGGCTAAGGACGTGGTACCTGTAACACACAGCGAAATGTGCGTAGGCGGCTACAATCCAGTTGTGGTGGCCAGCGACTATCAGCACCTTTCTCGGATCCACGGGGAACCCTGCCAGTTTTAGAGAGAAGCATTTACATCTTAAGTGAGTCGGAAAGTTCTGGCTCTGAGGCCACTTCATGCCTCTGTCTGTCTGGGTGAAAGGGGGTCAGAGCAGAGCATGCTCATAGCTTACACTACACAGCATGCCTTCATCAGACAGAGGAGCCTAAAATGTGATCTCACTAGCTCGCTCTCACACAAAGCTTGTCAACTGTTCTACAGACAAAAGCAACAGAAAGAAATAAAAACAGAGGTCATATTACACTTCTAATAAAAGTGTTAAATGAGATTTTCCAAGATATAAATGATGAATCTGGACTTAAAAAGGAAATAAAGGGCTGGGGTGTAGCTCGGTACTATAGCACTCAGTACTGTAGCCATGGGTTCAACACACAGCACCGTAAGAGAGTGTGAGAGTATAAGAGAGTGTGTGTGGTCTGTGTGCAGCAAAAGAGCAACAGTCAAAACTCATGGCAGCCTGTCCCTAAGAACTAAGCACAAGCTTTCCTTCTCTGCTCTGCAACCCCACTTACCCAGCCTGACAGTCTCGTCTCCATTTCCAGAGAGCCCAGGTGGGGTCCCACTTCCCCGGGCTTCGTCTTCTGTAGCATTAGCATTGAGTCCATTCCTAGCATCCACAGAGGACCTAGCTGTGTTAGTTATTTTTCGGCTGGGAATACCTACAAAGCAGGACACAAATTTATCTGTTACCCTTCCAAAAATGAAAAATATCACATTGTAACAGAGGGACACAAACATCTAAACTTTGTTATATCTAAAATAGATCTTCAAACACATCAGTGTATGTCAAACAGTTTAAATATAACAAGTAAAAGATAAAGAAGACACAACCCAAGCAATTCCTGGCATTTTACTATTCACAGACCATGGATTAAGGCTTATCATAGTATGTGCCCGCCCTTTTACCCAGCTTCAGTGTACTGAGCAATCATCCATCCAGTCTGAGCTGCTCTTTAGGCTTATGGTAGTCACATGTCATCCTAGCCATGCCCAAATCCACTGCCTCAGAGCTTCATCTCCTCATGCTTTCAGAGGGGATCTTTTCAAAAACAACCCCTCTCTCAGAAGCACTAGGCTGCACAGGCAAAGTAACCGAGAGGACACTGACCTAACCCTGCAGGGCTCCTGGGCTCAAGTCCTCGGGCTAAAGGGTCTGTGGTGTACACGGCAGCTGTGGTGCAGCCATGGTGATCTATCTTCCTGGGCCCTTACAGAGAAGGCATCAGGCCCTGCTCTACATAATGTGAGGCCTTCACTCTCCTAAAAGGGCACAGTCCGATGGGGCTCAGATTTGCTGAAACTCAAATAACCAAGGCCTTTCTAATCTTTATGTTTGTTCTTGCTCAATGGCAAGTCTGGATAAATCTGAGTGGCAGTACCTGGTGGGGGTAGGTAGCCGTGGAACAGGACACTGCCACAGGACGACCTCTCCAGCTCCTCACACAGCAGCAGCCTTCGCACTGTAACAGTCAACGCAAGCTTGTCAGGGGACATGCAAACACAGACCTGCTCCACCATGTCTACTTTCTCTAGTTAAGGGCAGTGAGAGGAGAAAGGTGACATGCTTAGAGGGGACTCACAGCTGAGGTCACCCTTTTACTAGGAGACACTAAGCACTACGCTACTGTCAGGAGGACATGAGAAGGACACTGCCTTTGGGCAAGTGTGTCACACAGGGTCAGTCCTGGGAGATGAGTACATACCTAGAGGAGTGATCCCGTAGAACTCAGCCTCGTGTCTGAGAGCACTAATGCTCACTCCCCTGCAAAGAAACAAATGAAGGCTGTGAGCGCTCCACACAGACAACCTGCCCACCATGGAGACAGACAAAGGAGAAACTCAGCACCAGACACAAGGGATGGGGCCTCAAGCTCAAATCTTGTTTTTCTCATATTCTTTTTGTAACGCCATTAATCATCTCAAAGTCTAAAGGAACATCACATAGAACACAACATCTGTTGGGGCTAGAGAGATCAGAGGTTAAGGATGTTGCTGCTCTTCCAGAGGGCACAGATTCAGTTCCCTGCAGCCAGAGGGCAGCTCACATCCACCTGAAACTCCAGTTCTAGGGGCTCCAACTTTCTCTGTACACAGACACATGTGTGAACGAAACATCAGACATATCAAAAATAAATAAAACCTTAAAATGTAAGCATTTGTTACCTACCTTAAAACCTTACATATGTTGATGATTTGTGTGAATAAGAGGGCTAATACAATTATTGAGAACCAACAAGAAAAAAAAAAACCAGCAAAAACCATCGTCTTTCTAGACTTCTTAGCCACAATCCTTTCTGTTCCTACTCTAGCCTTTCCTGCTGTGCCACGAGCACCCTCCAAGTTTCACCACCTCCTCACTGAGCCAGAACAGCGCTCACTCACACCCCGTGTTAAAATGTGCTGGTAAAATAAAATGCAGTCTGGTGATAAAAGGCCAGCAAGGACCTTGTATCCAGATGAAGACAGTGTCGCCACAGGGTAGCAAAGTTAGGTGACAGGTAAATAAGAAGTGAAGAGACTGTGCTCATAGCCACAGCACTCATGACTCACTGGAAGGCTCCCCCCAGCGCTCTGCTCCTATGAGAAGAGAGAACCCTTAAGCAGACAGACTTGGGAGTTAACTGTTTTATGTGTTACCTGCCACTAGAAGGTAGGGGCTAGGAAGGGTTGGAGGAGAGCAACTGAAGTCCAAAGATGAGGACACAGGGGTAGAAGTTCAGATCCGTCCACATCACAGAAATACCAGGTGGGTGTGGCAGCCCACCTGTGACCCCAGAATGCAGAACAAAGAGGCTAAGAGGACCTGAGAGCAAGCCAGCTAGCAAAACAAAACCAAGTGACAGTAAGATCTGGGTTCAACTGAGAGACCCTGCCTTCAAATAAAGGGCAGAGAGAGTGATCCAAGATGGCAGACATCTACCTTAGTTTGGACACATGGACACACAGACACAGACATGGATGGACGGACACACACACAAATGCTGAATACTTCCATAAGATAAATAAACCAAAAGACAATGGCACAATGGCAAAAGCTCACGACGAGGAAGGGCTCAAGACAAACTCGGGGCTGGCCCCTCAAGGAGCTGTAGGCAGGCCCCTGGACAGCTGGGAACAAATGTGTAGCGAGTGGCACCAGCAATACAAAAATGCAAGAAACACGGTTAAAACAATGTTTTACAAATTTCTTCCTTTCTTTTTAAAAGAACCAGTCATAAAATTTAATTCTGCTGGGCGCAAACTTGACACTTTCTGATTACACACGGTATGTGCAAGAAAACAATCTCATTCGGGAAACTGACTGCCCGCCTCTCACTGACTCCAGGCCCAGACACAAAACCCAAACAAGCACACCCAATGCTCTTCTTCTGACTTAGTAAATGCCTGGTCTGCACGGATCTGTGTGTGTGTGTGTGTGTGTGTGTGTGTGTGTGTGTGTGTGTGCGCGTGCGTGCGTGCGTGCGTGCGTGCGCTGGGAATATGGCAGGGAACAAATCGGACCAAAATAAATGAATGCACATTTTCATCTGCAAAGAGCACACCTTCAGTGAAGCAGCAGCTAATGGTAACACCAAAAGTTATCCCTACAAAAAAATTCAGAGCCTTAGTGAAGGGTTGCTAAAAACACTAACTAAAGCTTCCTGGTAGGAATGTGGTAGGTAAGTCAAGATGGCGAATTCACAGACATGGTTTAAGTGATCGCTCATGACTCATAATCATCCATCATCTACTATATGTCGGTCACAAGGCTAGCCTTGGGCACATAGTGAAAAGTGGGTGCCCTTCTGGAGTTGAGGCCTGCTGGAGAAGATTGGTAAGAAGGTTAAATATTTACAGCAAGAGCTGAGACACTGACAGACAGGAAGTCTTAGGCAAACAGCACACCAGACACCAAGAACTGACACGACTGTGAGAGAAATTACGCACAGGCAGAAGATTGACAAGCAAGACCAAACCCAAAACTACCAGCCATTCGTCCAAAATAACCTCTGCATTTCCGCCAGAACAGCAGCCCGGTCAGACTCAGACTGCTGGCTGCAGGGCTGAATGAAACACATCATGCAAAGCAGGGGACTGCCCAGGGAGCTGCGACAACACCCTGGAGGACGGGGCCTGGAGGCCTGTACCCATCCAACTTGAGCTGAGGGTGCTTGTTGGTCACCAGGTGGATCAGAGGCGCTTAGAGGCTAGAAGGGTGGACTGAGGGGAGGGAGAGTAAGAAGCAGATAACAAATCACAGGTGGGGCCCAAGGGACACTGCACAGCTGGCACTGTAGTCTACAATTAGCCACACAGGCCCAAGTAACCAAGGAAGCACTAAAGGGTCCCAACACAAGATGTTACTTGAGGAGATGATGCAATTCCCAAGCCAGGACTGTTACACTCTGTACACTTGTATCTCAATAACTGTTAACACGGTGTGCCGAGGTAAACACAAACACACAACTAAAAAGCAGTCTTGGGCAGGCACATTACTTTGTGAACGGCTCAAACACTGGCTGCCAGCAAGGCCTCAAAAATGATCAGACTCTTACCTTAAGTCGAGTTCTTTTGTCCGAAGAAAATTTAAAATGGGGGCGAATGCTGCCGGGTCCCTATCAATAAATATCTGCAAGTGAAGAACTGTTTTATTATCAAGTCAAAATGTATGTCCCCCCCCTTCAACAGAGGCTGACTGAGATTTCCTTGGTTTTGATGTTTCTAAGACTCCAATGGTATAACTGTGGTCAGTCAGTGTGGTCATGTGAGTGTTTTCATTTCTAACTACTGACAATGCTTGGGGGAAGACCCCCGGGGAACCTCAGGCTGCTCTGGCAGCACCCACTGAGGCAGCCACCGTGACTTCTGTACAGACAGCAGTTGGGGCTACCATAGCTGTCACCTAGAGTGCAGGCCTTCCAAAGGCTTAGCTGACAACCTCACCATGTCTGCTTCAAGGGCTAGGTGGGTAAACTTCACCATGTCTGCTTCAAGGGCTAGGTGGGTAACAGATGGGGGGTCACAGCACACACAAGACAAAGATGCTTCCAATGGGAAAACCACAAACTGGGTTTTTTATTTAACTTTTAGCTAAAATAACTTCCTGCAGACACATCTGCTCTGGTGCTTTATTTTGCAAATCTCATCCAATAAACAACTTCACACTGCTCCTGTGGGTTGTCACTGTTGCTAACAGTAGTTGTCTGAACACCACTGCATCCAAGGCAATGTGGAAAGTGCTAAAACCAATCTCTTGGCTTAAATTTTACAGGACTTTGTTTCCACGCTGTATTGCCTCACAGGTTCATAAAGAATTGTAGGACTTTACCCACCTGCAAATTTGTACCACTCTAATACCAAAATATTTACCTATTTATACTTATTGACTATTAAATTAAGATTCAATTATTGGCTAAGGAACTATTCTGTCAATTGTCAATGCAAGCTACATCCTACAACCACTCTATCACTGTATACAACAGTTACTGCTTAGGGGTCTCTTTCCAATTCAGAAACACTCAATGTGACAATTTTTTTTAAAATGCCACACCTACTCTGGGTTTCCTAGAATGTGAGCTTTCCTGTCACTCACACTAAGAATTACAAGCTTTTGTTGACTGAATTTAGAAACACAACATTATACTCACAGCGCCAGTTTCATCTCGAAGTGTTGAAATTCTTCCACTCAGCAAGCTAGGAGTCATAAAACAAGCTCCAATTAGTTACAAAATCTGAATATAAACAACTTCCTTACTGACAAAGCCAACACAAGCAAACTTCTGTCTCCAACTTTAAAAAAAAAAAACCTCAATTTTAACCAGGTGTTGGATGTATACCTGTAACACCAACAACTAAAACGCTGAAGCAGGAGGAACAGGAGTTCAAGACCAGACTGGATACAGAGCAGAACCCTTCTCAACAGTACAAAAACAATAAAATTTAATTTATAAATTAATTCAAATTATAAAAAAAATCTTAATCTAACTAATAAGGAAAATTTTCATATTTTGGCAACTAATCAAATGTATAAAAGCATAAAGAATTACATTAATTACCTGGAAAAAAAAGAATCTGGAATCCACATAAGAGTCTGTCTTGAGGTACTGAATCTGCAATTGAAATCACCTTGTGTTACCAACGAGAACACACCTTTAGACAAGACACAGTGATGCTACAGGCAGGTATGATTGCACAGGCATTGATTATCATGTTTACTACTTTCAGATTTTACCACTTTGCAATCTGAATTAAGATTCTCAAACAGCTCTGAGAAAAACCAAACGCAATGCCCCCTAAAGCTCCCATTGCTTTAGTCCCTCACAACCAATCTCAACTTCTCAGCTCAGCTGTGTGCAGATCTTCGGCACCGCTGCAGTCTCTTGACTTTGTGTGTTTGGTCTTATGTCTTCATCCCAGCTCAGTCACCTTCCTCCTCAAGGCCAATCCTCCAAGTCCCAGCCGTGTCGCTGACACTACTGGGTTACCAAATCCACAATGGCATTTCCAGAAATTCCGTCCCATACAACCTCTTTCTGAGCAACTAGTAACTTGTGTAAATTATGTATTCAATGCTCTCTATACAGCATCCTTGGCCTGTTTCCAATACATGAGCAAAGTGGGTACTGTCTGCTCCTTGTTCATCCCAGCCTGCCATTCAAAGTTTCTTTCACTTCCATTTGCATCTTCCAAGTGGCAAAGCAAACGTCAGTGGACCACAGGCCAAGCTGAGGACCGCAGAGGTCAATGCACACCTAAGCACTGAGACAGCACAGCCTTAACACATGTCCTTTCTCCATAGATGATTACTCCTTAAAAACTACAGCTTCCAAGCTTACTTTTAGGAGCATGTTTAATAATAATAATAATGTTTTTTAAAAGTGGATGGCAGCCTGGCACTGGCACAGATCCAATAGCTACTCTGAAACAGAGGTGTGATAATCAGGTGCACAGTTAAGTGTTTCGTAGAAACTGAGACACTGGTTCCTTTGTTCAACCTACAGGCTTTATATGGTAACAACAGAACATTTCCACATAAGTTATTGATAAACACATTACCAAAATGTCCACGTGGCCGTTGGCATAACCAGGCCTTATGTCACCTAATGACAGTGACAGTAGGAAAAAAAAAGTACAAGCTCCCTTCCACAGAATGTCTGATACAGCCCGGTTACCTCACAGACATCGCCTACTGTTATCACAGCAAGCTTCTTAATCATAGGGAAAAAATTAACTCTGCTTCCTCCATCCACAATTCACAATCTGTAGAGAAGACACATCCTCTCACTGACCTACTAGGGGAAAGAGGGAAATAATTATTTTTTAAAGATGTATTTATTTTTACTATCTTATGGTGCACCATGTGTGTGCCTGGTGCCCACAGGAGGCAGTAGAGGTCATCAGATTCTCCTGGGACTGGCATTACAGACAGTTGCTGCCACCATGTGGGTGCTGAGAATCAAACCTGGGTCCTCTGCAAGAGCAACAAGTGCCCTTAACCACTGAACCAACTCTGCAGCCCCAAATAATTCATTTCTTATAGATATATCTCTACATCTCTTTCATTAAAAGATCTTATAGAGACACAGAGATGCTAACTCTCAACTAATTTCACAAGTTATAAATAATCTAAGTGTTGTCAAGTAATTCCTATGCTCACTTCTCAGACTAAGAAAGGAGCTAAAACCAGGTTAGGTGGCACATGCCTATAATTCCACTACTCCAGAGGCTGAGGCAGAGGAATGGCATGAGCTCCATGCCAGCCTGGGATGCATAGTAAATTAAAGGCCAGTGAGACTTTGTCTCAAATAAATACATAAAGACATAAATAAACAGGAAGGAGTTCAATAAACATGTTGTCAAGAACACAGGGCAATGTTTCCTAAGGATGTGTCTTAGCAAACTCTTTAATAGAACACAGGTTACCACTAGTCACAGAAAACTTAGGTCAATTAAAAGAAAACCAGTCAGCAGGGCATTAGTGCTGCACACCTTTAATCCTAGCACTCGGGAGGCAGAGGCAGGAGGATCTCTGTGAGTTCAAGGCCAGCCTGGTCTACAGAGCGAGTATCAGGACAGGCTCCAAAGCTACACAGCGAAACCCTGTCTCGAAAAACAAAAACAAAAAAAGAAAGAAAGAGAGAAAGAAAGAAAAAAGAAAACCAGTCAATGGTGAACAGAGGCATCCACAGAAAGACTAGATTTCTGAAGCATTAGATAACTTCAAGGAATGACGGTGGAAGAGTTCAGATTGTCTAGAATCACTATGGGAACAAGCCTTTGGGCATGTCTGTGAAGGAGTTCCTAGATTAGAGTAAATGAAGTAGGAAGATCCACCCTAGGCCTAGCTTTTCTATTCCTGTGATAAAACATTGATCAAAATCAACCTAGGGAGAAATATTTGGCTTCCAGGTCTCAGTCCATCACTGAAGGAGGCCAAGGCAGGAACTAAAGCAGACCATGGAGCAACGCTGCTTGCTGGCTCCCCTTTCCTTAACTTTCTGATACAGCCCATGCCTGCCTGCCTGCCTAGGGTTGCTACCACCCACAGCATGCTGGGCCCTCCTCTATCAGTTAGCAATGAAGAGAATGTTCCTCGTGGCTTGCTCAGCTTGCTTTTTTGTATAACCCAGAACCACTTGCCCAAGAGAGGTACCACACACAGTGGGCTGGGCCTTCCCACATCCATCTTTAATCAAGACAAAGATTTGCCCATAGGCTAACCTTAAGGAGACAATTTCCTAGATGACCCTCACTTCTGTCATGTCACTAGCTGGTGTTCAGGAACTACAGGCAGGAAATCTGGAGGCAGCAACTGAAGCAGAGGCCATGGAGTGATGCTGCTTGGCTCTGGGCAGAAGTACTGAATACAAAGCAAAGGGCTGAAGAGCAACACACATCCCCTCTAGGTGAGTGCAGACAGAGTGACCAGCCCCTAAGCTTTGACACCATCGTGGTCTGCAGGCTCCAACACAGCCCAGAACTCTGACCTCTTCCAGTTGCTTTTGTTGGGTATTCTGTCACAGCAAGGAAACAAACACAGATAGTTTATAACTTCTGACATCCCATGTTCATCAGTTTCAGAAAACCATATTACAGTACACAGGCCTGCTGAAAATCATAATGCCCCACTAGGCATGGTGGCCCCACTGCTGTCATCCCAGCACTCAACAGGTGGAGACAGTCACGGGCAGAACAAGGGAAGCCTGCGCTATATTGTATCAGCGTCAAGCCCACCCCAGAAGACAATCTGCAACTTTGGGCAAAGAGAAAGGAAAACTTGTATATACGATTAACATAGTTCTCTGTTACATATACATGAGAGCCTTTGCTGTTTTGCATCTCATATCCGAAGTGTGCCAAGGATGGATAGATGGATAACAAACACATCAAAAGATCACTAGAGAAATGTGCATATCCGGTTATACTTCACTCTAGCAGCTTGCCACTAAACCAATCTGAAAATATGAAAGTAACCCAAGTCAAAGTATTTGTTATGAACCATACTATGATGTCACTACCCTCACCTTTCATGTTTAGTCCCTCAAGTTCCTCCATCAGTCCATGGTCTGGCACTAGCTTCTCTTTGCATTTCTGGAAACTGAGCACTACAAAGTAACTCGCCCAAGGGTGCCAACTTGGAGGGCCTGCTAGGTGCACAAGAAGCCAGTTTGTTCCCCCAAACTGTCCACAAGTAGAGTCAAGTGGCCCTCTCCTACCTAAACTGATACCTAAGTAAACAGATCTTGAGTGGAACTGGGATTCTTCACTAATGCTGTAAATAGTAAACACTACCTGTTTTTAAAGAAAGCCCACCAAGTACTAAGTCAAACAAAATCCTGCTCGTTCGTCTCAGTCCTTGAGCAGCATGCTTCTGTGTCTGGCTTCCATGTTCTCAATAGACACATTTTCGTCTTACTCTGTGACTTCCTTCAAGCCATGCAACAGGTCATCTCCCATCAGGCCTTCCTGACTTCACAGCCACTCACAGAAGGGCTTTTTTTCTCTTCCAGGGACTTTTGTGACTGTCTTAACTGTGCCAAACTGTTTTGTACAAGGTAAACATGACTTCTGGCCCTCCTCTGGCTCTCAAGAGCTAACAGGTGTGTAAGTCGATAAAGACCTTTGGAAAGTGGTGTTCCAACACTTGGCATTAAATGCTGTCGTTGTTTGTGACATAATCAACCCTAATAATCCCAAAGCTGAATGTTTACTTTTATGTTTCATTCCTACCTAACAACTTTTATCTGCTAAAATGTTCAAATCAGTAATAAATTTATTGTCATATTTTGTATTCTCTGCTAATTAGCACTTTGAAAAATTCCATAGGTAAAGTAAAATGTTCAAGACTCAGAGCTTGAGTATGCTTGTAGTCCTTGGAGCTCAGTCATTAAGACATCCACTTTCTTTTTTATTATTTTATTTTTGTTACTGATACAGGCGTCCTGGGGGTAGGGAGGGGCATGTCAAGGTCTGCATTCGGAGGTCAGAGAACAATTTTCTTTCTCTTTTCATCTTTTCAAGGATGAAACCAGGGTTCCCAGGTGTGCTTCCTTAAGTGACTAGCCAGTCATCATGCTGGCCACACCCATCTCCAATATACAATAAACAACATAGGGCTGAAGAGATGGCTCAGTGACGAAGAGCACTTGCTGCTCTTGTTTGGTTCCCAGAATTCAGTTCGCACCCACGTCAGGTGGCTCACAGCAAAACTCACTACACCTGAAACTCCAGCTCTAAGGGGTCCTCTGGCATCCACAGACACCTGCATCCACACGCACAATTAAGACAATTAACAATCTTTTCCACACTAACAATATAGCTTAGTTTTTGTCGTAACCCTCTGTTCTCTTGAGTGCCTGAAAGGAAGGATGTCAGCCATCCACACTGTCAAGATTTTAAATGAGCATAATCTTGCTTCTCTGTAGTAACACACCCTGCAGACCTCTTTGTATGAAGTATTTCACTTTTGCATACCAAGCTACTTGCAATACTTTGATGTAACTTTAGGTGGGCAGGGAAACCACATTTCTTACACTAGGAGATAGACATTTGCATATGACCTGGTATGTATACAATGCAGAAGAAGCCTTGCTCAGTAGGAAAAGGTGACAGCATATGAGGACAAATCCTAACTCAGAGTTCTCTAGCACCCAGAGGGCCACCTCACTTTTTTC